AAAGTGTAAAGTGTAAAGTGTAAAGTGTAAAGTGTAAAGTATAAAGTGTAAAGTATAAAGTGTAAAGTGTAAAGTGTAAAGTGTAAGGTATAAAGTGTAAAGTGTAAAGTGTAAAGTGTAAAGGTAAACTGTAAAGTGTAAAGTGTAGAGGTAAAATGTAAAGTGTAAAGTGTAAAGGTAAACTGTAAAGTGTAAAGTGTACAGGTAAAAGTGTAAAGGTAAAGTGTAAAGTGTAAAGTTTAAGTTTAAAGTATAAAGTGTAAAGTATATTAAGTATAAAGTGTAAAGTGTAAAGTGTATTAAGTGTAAGTATATATATAAAGTGTAAAATGTAAAGTACGTAACGTGTAAGATGCAAAGGTAAATTGTAAAGTGTAGTAAAGTCTAAAGTGTACACCGCTTACTTTTTAAATCGTCAATTTAAAATTCTTACTTAAATAAGTTGACAACCAATTGATTTAGAGTTAATATATTTTTTGGTCGGAAACGTTATGTCAGTAGTTCAAATGAACAATAGTTCAAACAAACAATAGTTCGAATTCGAACAGTAGTTCAAACGGGAGTAGCTTTCAAATGAGAATCCACCCTCGGGAAACCCTGTATATCATCGAATCTTTCCATTTAAACGTTCTGTAGGAGAGACGACCTTTATTGTAAATATTCGTTTTAATCTTGTAAAATTTGCGTAAACGGCTCCTCCAACCTTATAGAACTAGAGGTTTGGTTAGCTCCGAGTATAAATATTGCCAAGGACCGGACCCGGCGTATACAAGGTTCTCGCCAAAGAAATAAAAAACTGAGCGCTTATATTATACACTAAACAAACCCGCGTCAATTCGTATAAATATAAATATGTGTTTGTTATTCCTTGAAATGTACGCAACTTTTATTTTATTGTGAATAATAACGAATGAAACACGAAAAATTGTGATATTTATTATTTTGACTGATATTTAATTGATATTTATTTATTTATTAAAACAATTAATTAACTATTATCTGTTAGGGTTTTAAAATTAGACCTAATATTACATGAATATTTTTCAGATCTAAATAGTAAAATATTAAGTTGTAGATATATATATAAATCCTAAGGATGGGTAGTGATGATGAATTAGAGGCAGGGTCAGGAGAAGAACAAGAAGAGGTAATTTATTAATCAAGATTTTTAAAAGTTCAGCCATTTTGAATTTTAACAATAGTCTATATCTTTTCAGATTAAACTGAATCTCTGAACAAATATGGAGTTCCAATATTTACAAGTTTGATTTTGTTGTATTTCCCTTCAAATTTCCAAGATTGATTTTTTTGCAATTCCCTTAGAAGAAAGGAGATTATAAACGGATGCACATTATTATTTTTGATATTTTTATTTTCATTTTGTTTTTTCTCTTGTATTTAATAGTAATGTACGTAAAGTACTTTACAAATGCAAATTTTATTATCAATATACTAAACAACATGTCTTCCATAACAGAGCTATCGATGTTAATGATCTCAAATATATATTCCTGATCAAGTAGAGTATTTAACGAAAAGCCATTTGTGAACCTTGTGATTTTTTGTTTATCCCATTTTTTAAACGATATTGATACATATTTTTTTTTATAAAAGTTTGAAGAAGAAGAAGTATTGATCAATTATAATCATATTCAAAAACCTTCTGTAGTTTTTTGTCAACACTTGTTTTAATAGGTGTTGGGGGTGTAATTCCTTTCGTTTATCTTGGTTATTTCCTAGAAACTATTTTTTGACCCCTCCGCCCCCAATGCCAAGACTAGGTTTTTTTTATTATTACTCCAGAATTTTACTTCTAAAGTTGGGTCTACGGATTTATATAGCTAATTATTTAAAGATAAAAGACGTCCTTCAACTCGTCTTGCTACTGTCATGTTTTGTGGGACACCCTGTACGTGAATACTTTTATTCAGCTGCTATCCTCTTACTAATTGTATTCATCAACGGAGCACATTAAAATGTTATTATTAAATAACTAAATTTTGATGTAAAAAGTTTTTTTTCTTTGGATAATTTTTCAGACATTAAAATCGAAAAAAATTTGGAAAAAATGTAAGATGTATTCCTTTTTAGGTTGTAGAATCCGAAGATGACGGAGCTAAGGACGGAGAAGAAGATTCTGATTATGGAGGAGGAGGAGGAGGTTCAAGTAAGAAGAAGAAGAGAGGAAAGAAGAGGAAGCAGAAGGAAGGAGGAAAAGGGAAGAAGAAAAAGAAGAGGAAGAAGGCTGACAGTGATTTATCTGAACCTGAAGAGGAAGCAGAACCTGAGGAGGAGTCTACTCCTAAACCAAGCAAACGAGGACGTAAGTCCAAAACTATTGAAGCTCCGACTCCTAAGGATCCAAGCCCTGAGCAGTCAATGCCAACAGTTCAGCAGTTGTGTGAACAGTATGGATTGAACGATGTTGATCTTGAGTATAGTGAAGCTGACTATAGTAATCTAACAACATATAAACTGTTTCAGCAAACCTACAGGACCAGGATACAGACGGAGAACCCCAAGGTTCCTGTCGCCAAGCTCATGATGTTGGTCGGAGCTAAATGGAGAGAATTTGTAGCTTCCGGTCCTGCCGGAGAACAAGAAGAGGAGGCGGAAGAGGAAGGTGATGAACAAGAGAAGGATGTAGATCAGGAACAAGAGGAGGAGGATGAAGAAGAGGAGGAGGGAGAAGAAGGAGAAGATGAAGATCTTCCATTGAGTAATAGAGGTAGAAGAGGTCGTGGATCTAGAACCAAGAAGAAGAAAGATGACGATGATTTCGAGTTCGAGGAAGATGAAGATTCTGACGAGGGCGGTAGGCGGAAGAGCCGAGGACGAGTATCCGCCTCAGCCAAGAAGGGTAAAGGCAAGAAGTCTGTTCCCAAGCTTAAGATAAAACTGGGAGGGCGCAAGAAGAAGAATGACAGTGACGAGGAAGAAGAAGGAGGAGGGGCTAAAGACTCTGACGAGGAGTTTGAAGAGATGCTAAAGGAAGCTGAAACTGCTATGGGAGATGAAGAGGTTCAGGTCACTGCAGAGAAGAAGAAACCCAAAGGTAAGGCAAAGATGAAGATCGGAAACAAGAACAAGAAGAAGGGGAAGAAGAAGAAGGATTTTGCGAACGATGAATCCGAGCATCAAGAATTCTGCGATGTTTGTCAGCAGGGCGGAGAAATCATCCTATGTGACACCTGTCCCAAAGCATTCCATCTGTGTTGTCTGGACCCTGAGTTGGAAGAGGCTCCTGAGGGTAAATGGAGCTGCCCTCATTGTGAGAAGAACGGACCTGCCAATGTTGAAGAATCCGAGGATGATGAGCATATGGAGTTCTGTAGGAGCTGCAAGGAGGGAGGAGAACTACTCTGCTGTGACTCCTGTCCCAACTCCTACCATCTCAGGTGTGTTGAGCCACCTCTAGAAGAGATTCCAGATGGAGAATGGACCTGTCATAGATGCGCTTGTGAACCATTACCAGGCAAGGTTGAGAAAATCTTAACCTGGAGATGGAAGGGTATGGATGAGGAGAAGGAGGAAGAAGAAGAGAAGAAGGAAGCAGCGGAAGGAAAAAAGAAGAGAAGGCGCAAGAGAATTCCTAAAGACGCTACTAGAGAATTCTTTATCAAGTGGAAAGACATGTCATACTGGCACTGTTCTTGGATCCAGGAGATACAGTTGGATGTTTTCCATGCGCAAACTCACAGAATGTATTTGCGTAAGAACGATATGGACGAACCTCAACGGTTTGACGAAGAGGGTGAGAATGATGAAGGAATGACAAGACGACTGAAGCATCATAAAACTGACGATCCATTGAAACTCTACGAGAGATTTTACAGATATGGTATCCGTCCCACCTGGCTACAGATCAATAGGGTTCTAAACAAAAGAATTCTCAAGGATGGAACAGTCCAGTATCTCATCAAATGGATAGATCTCAACTACGCTGAATCCACCTGGGAGGATGAGGATGAAGATATCCCTGAACTCCAGCAGATGATTCAGAACTATGAAGATCTCAAGTACGTCTGCGGAGTTGAAGGTTCCAGAAAGAAGAAGAAGAAGAAGAAGGGTGAGGCGGACGAGGAAGACAGAGTAAGAAAATACAATCCTCCCCCAGAGAAACCTACAACCAACCTTGATGTCAAGTACAAGGATAACTCAATGTGCAAATGGCTTCCAAAGGATCTTGCCCTTCATCCTTACCAGCTTGAAGGTATATCCTGGGCCCGTCACTCCTGGCACATGAATACAGACATTATCCTGGCCGACGAGATGGGTCTAGGGAAAACCATTCAAACCATTACCTTCCTTTACTCCTTGTATAAGGAGGGGCATTGTCGGGGCCCTTTCTTGATCGCTGTCCCCCTCTCAACACTGATTAATTGGGAGAGAGAGTTTGCTCTCTGGGCTCCTGAGTTCTATGTTGTCTCCTATGTAGGAGATAAAGAATCTCGTTCAGTGATCAGAGATCATGAGCTTTCCTTTGAAGAGGGTGCAGTAAGGAAATCTGACAAGGCGTCTAAGATTCGATCGAGCACCGTGAAATTCCATGTGCTTCTCACCTCCTACGAGTGTATATCTATTGATGCTGCCTGCCTAGGCTCCCTCCAGTGGGAGGTGCTTGTCGTCGACGAGGCTCACAGGCTCAAGAACAACCAGTCAAAGTTCTTCAGAATCCTTGCCTCCTACCAACTCAACTACAAGATGTTGCTTACCGGTACACCGCTACAGAACAATCTAGAAGAACTGTTCTATCTTCTTAACTTCTTGACTCCGAGCAAGTTTAATGATTTAACCCAGTTCCAGTCTTCCTTTGAAGATATTGCTAAAGAAGAACAGGTTCGTAAGCTGCATGAGCTGCTTGGACCCCACATGTTGAGAAGACTGAAGGCTGATGTACTGAAGAGTATGCCCTCTAAGTCCGAGTTTATCGTGAGAACCAATCTTGCGCCTGCGCAGAAGAAGGTATACAAGAATATCTTAACGAGAAACTTCGAAGCGTTGAACGCCAAGGGTGGAGCTCAAGTGTCGCTACTCAATGTCATGATGGAACTCAAGAAATGCGCGAACCATCCTTATCTTCTTCCAGGTACATTTTATAAAGGTTTTACAAAACTATTTTATTGAAACCAAAATTAGACTCATTAACGAATTTTATTATTCGAACTCAATAAAAAAATTTTCCCCTCATTCAAAAAAACAGAGCATTTATTTAAGTAAAATGCAAGTCCTGAAGGGGTAGTGGGTAGTGGGGACATTACACAACATAATAAGCCTATACATTCATAATTTCTTATTAATTTCTTTTGAAAAACAATTAATATAGTAAGCGCATTTTTTAGTGACCTTCCATGCAATGCACGATTCACAACGGTACCCATAAAACCTTTATGTGGAAAATACTGTCGCTTCCTAGGTTAAAAGTGTTAATTTCTGATATTTCCTGATTTTTTTCCCTCTGCAAGTCGGTTTGTAAAGACCCACAATTAAAAATAATCAGTTTTCAAAATTATAAGTTTTAGAATGGTAATTCATACTTGTGAATCTGTCAATACCAGCTTTACATGGAGGATCACTTGAAATTACGCTTACAGTCCCATTATTTATGTATTTTTAGTTTTAAATTTACACTGTATGAAATCAATCCTTGTATGGTTCAGGTCCGGCTGAAGAAGCCCCTCTAGCCCCTAACGGACTATTCGAAATTAACGCGATGACCAAATCCTGCGGAAAATTAGTTCTTCTCCAGAAAATGTTGAAGAAGTTAAAGGAAGACGGACACAGGTAATTAACAGAAAAATTTACACATTTAAGAAAAGTTTGTTTAAAGATTTTTATTTTCAATACTAATGTACATGTTATTGGAGAAAATATATCTATTCATGTAACTGCTTTGTGTTATTTAGCGGTATAATACGTTTTTTTTGTCAGAATTTTTACGTTTGTTTGTTTGTTTAAACTTGAATTTAAACCAAAAACAAACAAATTAGTAAAAATCACAAAACTTATTGTCATAAATGATAACACAAGGTGGTTGGATATATAAATTTATTCAATCTGAAAAATGTGCGCATTTTTTTTTATGAAAATCCGCGAAATATGAGGAGCCAGGCATAAAATGTTACTTATTTGCCTCGTTAAAAATAACTTCTATACCCGAGATAAAAAATTGCGAGTAAAAATGCGGAATACAAGTTTTCCCAAAATTGGATAAAATTAATTTTTTAGTAAAAAGTATCCGAAAAAGCTGATGTCCAATTTTTCAGTTTCTTTTCAAATCTTAAGTTTACTTGTTATTATGGCTGTGCACATTATTTTTTTAATTTCTTCGTTTTAACTATTCCTTCACGATTTTTTAAAGGGTTTTTAGTCAATATCAATATTTCAATTTGATAATTAAATATTTAACAGCCATCTAATGAAAGTTTTTTTTGCTTACACTCAAAAAAACTACTAATCTTAAAAGATAGTTCACGTAAGAATAAAAAATAAAAATGAAAAAAATAAAATTGTTTTTTTACGTGTTTATGTTTATGAAAGAATTTACATTTACTTTGAATGGTTAACAATAACCATCTAACTTCCTAACCACCCCTTCCACCACGGCTATTTTTTGTTCGGAATTCATTATTTTAAAAAACCGACGAAAATTTCGTGGATTTTTAAAAAAACAACATTACTCCGTCAGTAATTGATTAAAAGTTAATATTTTTGTATCGAATTTTGGAAATTTTTTATTATTTCGAAAATTAGATTTAAGTTTTCCCAGACCTACTTCTGAGCAAGCAATCTATTCTCATGATTAGTTCTAAGTACAGACCTTCTCAAAATAGAAAATAAGAAGATTGGATGAGAGACTTGTTTTTCAAAACATATTTTTTACATGTTTTTTACAATACGTTCGTACATGTATTGTACAATCCTTGAATTTTAAGTACAGTTTAAGGTTTAAGCTACTTTCTAACCAGTGCTTAGGACCGGATCCGTTGGATCCGCAAGATTTTGGCTTCCTGGATCCGGATCCGCAAAAATATGCGGATCCACGGATCCGAATCCAAGGGGTAAAATATCAACCAAACACTGCAAAAAAAAGCTTTCCAAAACCCCAAATCTGAACTTTTAAAAAAAGAGAGATTATACAAATTTCCTCATTTCTAAATGGTTCATCAAGTTTTAGGATAAAAATAAGCGAAAAAAATAAAACCTAAAAATTTGAAATTTTTTTTGTCAAGAAATTTAGTAAATCATAAAGAAATGACCTGGATCCGGATCCGGATCCATTTTTTCCAGTGCGGATCCAGGATCCGGATCCGCATCAAAATTGAATGGATCCTAAGCACTGTTTCTAACTTATAAATTGAAATATGATGATGGTGGATTAATGTAAAATCGCTTGACTGTACTAGATTTTAGACATGTGATTTAGTTGTGGCAGGAGAACGGTTTGATATCAATTTATTTTACAGAAGGATTTTTGAGTAGAATTAATAACTTATCAATTGATCACAATACGGTATCATCCTATATTCTCTTTTACCGATTACCGATATCCGATTTACAAGGTTACCCTATATTCTATAAAACAGCGCTTAGGATCCATTTAATTTTGAGGTGGATCCGGATCCAGGTCATTTCTTTAAGATTTACTGAATTTTTTGTTTTATTTTTTTCGCATATTTTTATCCTAAAACTTGATGAGCCATTCAGAAATGAGGAAATTTTACAATCTCTTTTTTTCAAAAGTTAAGAATTTGGTTTTAGGAGTAAATAAGTTTTTTGCAGTTTTTGGTTGATATTTTACCCCTTGGATCCGGTTCCGTGGATCCGCATATTTTTGTGGATCCGGATCCAGGAAGTCAAAATCTTGCGGATCCACCGAATCCGGATCTTAATCACTTCTATAAAGCTTTGTTGGATCAATTATGAATGAGATTTGCATTGTGTATGATTTGCTTTGAAAAATTAATTATTTTAAATTGTGGTTTTAAAAAAGCTTACTTGTAAGTGGGCTTTTTAAGGTTTTTTGGGGGGGGGTTAAAAATTCCAATTTTTACGTTTCTTCACTCATATAATGATAAACTCTTAGAGATAAGGTCCACTATCAACTGTAATGATTTTTAAGAGTTTACAGAACTAAAACTGACACATTTATTCATTTTCTAAAACTTAAACTAATGATGTTCACAAAATAAATATTGTTCGAATATTGAGTTATTTCAAATAAAAAAATATTGAATTAATCATTTCACTCAATACTTCAAGACGTTTTCTGGTTTTAGACCAGACAAATACAACAGTGGTCTTCCTTGAGCAATATCTACAGATTAATATGAGTAACCCCACCCCCAATCAGAACTATATATATCAAGTGAGAAAATAAATAGTCTGAAATTTATAGAACTATAATATAAAAAATTGAAGTATTCCCCCTATGAAGAAGGGAGGTGATATTATTGTATTTGAATAGAATTTATATATGATTATAATTTATTATCACAACAATATTATTATTTTTCATAACTAAAAGTTCACCTATTGCTTTAACAGTCTTTGTATTATGAATTAGTACGAGTTTTAGTAGGTTTGTACTACTTTCAAATGAAAAACCCCTAAAAAAAACCAAAAAAAAACATTAAAGTCCAATAAAATCACTGGGCTGGTTTTAAAAAAAAAATCCGAGTTTTTTCCAAACCCCTAAATATTAGAAAATTGAACCATCATTCCGTAGAAATCAGGTCTAAGCTGTCATTAAACTGCACGTGTGCACACGCGTGACTGAGGGGTGACACGTATCTGATTTTAATTTGATATTTTCTCCTAGGGTTTTGATTTTCTCCCAGATGACGAAGATGTTAGATCTGTTGGAGGACTTCTTGGATGGTATTGGAATCAAGTACGAGAGAATTGACGGAGGTAAGTTTTCGTATACAATTAGTCATATAAGAGTGGAGTGGAGTTTGCAGAGAAATCTACGCACCATGATAAAGAAAATCCGCCAAATTACAACATTTTCAAAACCATATCTCTCTGATAAGACTTACTAAGTGTGTTCACTCGTCAGGGTAAGGATGCCGTAGTTGATGAAAATTATCATCAAGACTATCAACTATTTAACAGTTTGGCATCCTATCTGGTTAATCTGATGAATAATAATTTGGTAAAAAAAGAAGAAATATGTTCAATAACTTATTAAATATAGCTTATTTTTGATGGTTTTTTTTAATATTTATACCAAAAAATTACCCAAGTAACCTGTTACCTGTAAGAAATGTTACCTAGTCATTATGTTATCTATAACTAAATGTTACTTAGACAAAGTACACTACGAAAATGAACCTAGACGAAATCTTACTGATCCTGTAACAGAAATGCATACATCCATTTTGATAGAAATTACTATTATAAATAATCAATTTTTAGATAGAAAATGTTTTATATCGTGCATTATTGATCAGACAAAGCTTTCAAAAGGGCACTTTTCACAGACACATCCCTTTATATAATTTCCTTGTCTAGGTATAACTGGAACCCTGAGACAGGATGCTATAGATAGGTTCAATCAACCTGATGCGGAGCAAATGTGTTTCCTTCTTTCTACAAGGTGAAAACATTTTTATTTATCCAGAGAAACAGTCCAATACCTTTATTCAATTTTAGTAGATTAATACTGTGTTATAGTTTGTATAGGTTTTAGAACGGGGGGGGGGGGGGGGTTAAGGACCTTTATTTTTGATAAAAGTAGTTCAACCCTATACCCCTCAAGAAAAAAATCACCCCTCATGCAAAGTTTTCTCTGAGGTTGGTGGGAAATTTGGCAAGCTTATAAATATTCATGGTGGGGCACCCGGCACTCGTTTAATTAAATTTAAAGCTAGCAGAAAATTTGCTTTAAATTATCTCTACAGAGCTAAATCTAATAAAATCTAGATGGTTAATTGTGAATTGGGGGGGGGGGGGTTGTAATATTTTGAAAATGCGCAAATATTTCTGAAGCGCCTTAAAAGCCTAGAATTATTAAATTGTCTAAATTTATATTTCCTATCCCTTTAATCTTTGTAACCTGTGTTGTATACCTTGAATAATCATAACTACGAATTCTGGTAGATCTAACTGAAATAGTTCAGAATAAAAAAGGTTCTAAATCTCAACATCAGGTTACAAAGATGTGAGGATCATGAAATATGAAATATATTCCATAGCATCAAATTGTTTAATTTTTTTAGGGCTGGAGGTTTAGGTATTAACCTGGCTACTGCAGACACTGTAATCATTTATGATTCTGATTGGAATCCTCACAATGATATCCAGGCTTTCAGCAGGGCTCATAGGATTGGACAGACGAGTAAAGTCATGATCTATAGATTCGTCACAAGGTAAAATAGTTAGTCTTAATTTTGATCTTTTCTTATTTCTTTGCCGCTGCGCTCGGTCCCTTATTTTTCATTCCCAGTGCACTCGATCAATTAGTTTTTCCAGACTGGAGGTTTCGGTTCCTGATCTCAAGCCGTTGCTTGGGCCTGGTCCCTTAGTTTATCCAGACTGGAGATTTCGGTTCCTGATCTCAAGCCGTTGGGCCTGGTCCCTTTGTTTCTCCAGACTGGAGGTTTCGGTTCCTGATCTCAAGCCGTTGGGCCTGGTCCCTTAGTTTATCCAAACTGGAGAATTCGGTTCCTGATCTCAAGCCGTTGGGCCTGGTTCCTTAATTTATCCAAACTGGAGATTTCGGTTCCTGATCTCAAGCCGTTGGGCCTGGTTCCTTAGTTTATCCAAATTGGAGATTTCGGTTCCTGATCTCAAGCCGTTGGGCTGGTTCCTTAGTTCATCCAAATTGGAGATTTCGGTTCCTGATCTTATCCAAGCCGCTGGGCTCGGTCCCTTAACATTCCCAGCCACAGCTCTCGAATACTTTTTGCATCCTAGCCACAGCCATCGGCCCTTCATATCGTAGCCACTAACTAGAGTGCTCAAACTGTATTTTTTTCAGTTCAATTAACATTAAAAAAAAAAAACAATTAAAAATTTCTGTTGGAATTATTTTTTGAAGAACATAATTTGAGTAAAAATGACTAGAGAAAACACCATCTTGTGGGATTTAATTGTATTTTCATATCATTTGGATATTTCCTCTGGTTACAGTGTTTTATTGCACCATTCTTCTCTTGTAGAAAACTAATAGATTGGATGAGAATGAATAGATATGGGAACCATTTATCTTCTTCACAAGTTTAGAAGAATAGATTTTGATCCAATATCCTCCATCTCTGCCCATCCTCACCCCCCCCCCCTTCATTTCAATCTTCATTCGCATAACCATTGTTAGGGTAAAGCACAGATAAAGATAGAGATTGTAGTAAAGTTTAGAAGTTAAGAAGAGGTTGTAAGTTAAGTGGTTGTACGTAAAGAAGTTGTACGTTAAGATGTTTCAAGCTATTTGTTGCACGTTATAGTTTGTACGATGTTGTACATTTGATTTTGTACTTAAGGATGTTATATTTTAAGAGGTTGTACGTTAAGATGTTGTACTTTAAGAGGTTGTACGTTACGATGTTGTACGTTACGATGTTGTACGTTAAGAGGTTGTATGTTAAGAGCTTGTACGTTAAGAGATTTAAGGTTAAGATTTTGTACATACAGAGGAAGCACGCTAAGAGGTGGACATTTTTGTTCTAAAGATTAGTTGTTGGGTTTTCAAAAATAAATGTATCTTGTTGAAAGTGACAGTTAGATTCCCATATATTTGGTGTACGTCTCCGCGCCACTATCTCTTATTATTTTCTCCTTGTTAGGTTAAATTTTTCACTTCTTCCATTTAGGAGACAATGGAAATATTTATTATTTAATGAAAATAAAAACCTTGGTTAATTATTGATAGAAAAATTGATCTTTAAAAAAGGGGGAAAATGCTTTCAATTTTCATGGTTTTTTAAAAAGTTTTGTATCATAATTTCTCTTCTTTAAATTTAAAATATTAACTTCTTTCCCTAAAGCAATTTATTTATCTCAACAATATAATTAACGCAAAGTATAATATACCTCTCAGTTGTGAAAGGTACTTATTACTCTACTCAAATTTTCTAATTCCTATATCTTTGCCACCTGATGTCGTAAATCGTAAACGTTTGATTTTACTAACAATGAAGTCTGTTTGTTAACAAAGTTGAGGTTGGTTTGAATAAACAAAGGTTTAAGACATTAGCATGCATAGATATTAGGAATAAAAATTTTACGTTTGAGGCGACCTATCAGTTTTATTCATGACTGTAAAAAGTTAAATTTGCCTTTTTTAAGAAAAAAAAATTGTACTAACGTTTTTAATCCATGTAGGCTTGGAGGACCAAGTAACAGCAAAAAAATGTAGTTTTGAACAATGAATTTACTCATAAAAATAAACCGGACCTTTCCAAATTTCATGGAAATTTATTGTAAATATTTTAATACTGGGCTTATAGGGCGCTACTTTTCTAGTAACAATTCTAGCTTTTTAAAATGTTGGTTTGGAAATCATCTCTTTTTATCGTACTCAGCAATAAACAAATTTTCGTGGATTTTTCTGATTTCATTGGTGCACTTTCAAAAATGTTAAATTGTTTAGAAATACTGTAGAGGAGCGGGTGACCCAGGTAGCGAAGAAGAAGATGATGTTGACCCATCTGGTGGTCCAGCCTAATATGGGCGGCAAATCTAACCTCAGCAAAAAGGAAATCGACGATATTCTCAAGTTCGGAACAGAGGAGCTTTTCAAGGTAAAAAAGGGAAGGGAAGGATTTTTGATGAAAAGGGGGGGGGGGAAAGAAAAATTGTACATCAATAGTTTTTCATCCTTTTTGAAACTTTACTCATATAAATTCACTTGTTTTCCCCTTATAAATAATTTATTTCCCCAAATCATTCATTCAAAAACAAACCTCATCTTTTTTTCCTTATTTCTCTGGAATATATACACCCCTGCAGAAAATAACGTATATGGAACTGATAACTCGCCTCAAACTACCTTAAATATTTGCATTCTGGTTGTTTAAAACTTGATCTAGCTTATTTCACAATAATTTAAAATTAAGAGTTTTCAAAAAGTTAAACAGAGTAGAGAGAATTAGGGAATCCAAATCGTGCTTGCTTTTGACGAAAGAACTTAAAACAATAAAATGCGTTAACAAAATACATGTTTTGTAACACTGTATGTTGTGTGCACGGGTTTGAAGAATTGACGCGGAAATATTAAGAAATGAACATAATCGGAACTTAATTGAAATGTCGGAAACATAAAATTGTCGGAGAAAATATTATTGTTTGGATATTAGGGGAAAATTTTAGTTATTCAAAACATTTTTTATTCAACCAGCATCATGTTAAACATTTTTTATTCAACCAGCATCATGTTAAACATTTTTTATTCAACCAACATCATGTTAAACATTTTTTATTCAACCAACATCATGTTAAACATTTTTTATTCAACCAGCATCATGTTAAACATTTTTTATTCAACCAACATCATGTTAAACATTTTTTATTCAACCAGCATCATGTTAAACATTTTTTATTCAACNCAATTCGGTTTATAACACATTGTCCTATAATTTTCAAAAAGAGAATTTAGTAGTCTATTTTTAAATATACTTAGAGAGTTGCTTCTTTTTAAGTCAAGAGGCACATTCCACATCTTAAGAAGAGAGCTTGATGGTAAATACTGTAATGAGTACATTTTGAGAATGTCAAGTTGATAGTTATGAGATCTTTCAAAGGTTCCAAGCTTTTTAAAAATATTTTCAAAATATATTCAACCAACATCATGTAAAAACATTTTTTTTTCAACCAACATCATGTAAAAAAATTTTTTATTCAACCAGCATCATGTTAAACATTTTTTATTCCACCAACATCATGTTAAAACATTTTTTATTCAACCAACATCATGTTAAACATTTTTTATTCAACCAACATCATGTTAAAACATTTTTTATTTAACCAACATCATGTAAAAACATTTTTTATTTAACCTACATCATGTAAAAACATTTATTCCCTTCCAATTGGGACTATTTCTGTAATGCAATTTACCGTGGTCATTGAACAAAAACATTGTACTGTAAACTGTATCCCTGTACTATGAACTGTATCTCTCTACTATGAACTGTATCCCTGTACTATGAACTGTATCCCTGTACTGTGAACTGTGTCTCTGTACTGTGAACTGAGTCTCTGTATTATGAACTGTATCCCTGTACTATGAACTGTATCCCTGTACTGTGAACTGTATCCCTGTACTATGAACAGTATCTCTGTACTAACTGTATCCCTGTACTATGAACTGTATCCCTGTACTATGACCAGTATCTCTGTACTAACTGTATCTCTGAATTATGAACTGTATCCCTGTACTGTAAACTGTATCTCTGTGCTGTAAACTGTATCCCTGTGCTATGAACTGTATCCCTGTACTATGAACTGTATCCCTGTATTATGAAATTTATCTCTACTGTAAAGTGTATCTCTGTACTATGAACTGTATCCCTGTACAATGAACTGTATCCCTGTACTATGAACTGTATCTCTGTACTAGGAACTGTATCTCTGTACTGTGAACTGTATCCCTGTACTATTAATTGTATCTCTGTATTATGAACTGTATCCCTGTTCTATGAACTGTATTCTTTTACTATGAACTGTATCCCTGTACTATAAACTGTATCCCTGTTCTATGAACTGTATCCCTGTACTATGAACTGTATCCCTGTACTAAGAACTGTATCCCTTTACTATGAACTGTATTCCTTTACTATGAACTGTATCCCTGTACTATGAACTGTAACCCTGTATTATGAACTGTATCCCTGTACTATGAACTGTATCCCTTTACTATGAACTGTATCCCTTTACTATGAACTGTATCCCTGTACTATAAACTGTATCCCTTTACTATGAACTGAATCCCCTTAGTATGAACTGTATCCCTGTACTATGAACTGTATCCCTGTACTATGAACTGTATCCCTGTATTATGAACTGTATCCCTGTATTATGAACTGTATCCCTTTACTATGAACTGTATCCCTGTACTATGAACTGTATCCCTTTACTATGAACTGTATCCCTTTACTATGAACGGTATCTCTGTACTATGAACTGTATCCCTGTATTATGAACTGTATCCCTGTACTATGAACTGTATCCCTGTACTATGAACTGAATCCCTTTACTATGAACTATATGTTCCCAGTACTATGAACTGTATCTTTGTATTATTAATTAAATCCCTATCAGTGCTTAGGATCCTGATCCGTTGGATCTGCAAGATTTCGGCTTCCTGGATCCGGATCCGCAAAAATATGCGTATCCACGGATCCGGATCCAAGGGGTAAAATATCAACCAAAAACTACAAAAAAAAATTTTTTTACTCATAAAACCCAACTCTGAAAAAAATTGAAAAAATTTCCTCATTTAGTTTCAGGATAAAAAAGCGAAAAAAATTGAAAATTATTTTTTGTTAAAAAAATTAGTAAATCTTCAAGAAATGACCTGGATCCGGATCCGCATCAAAATTAAATGGATCCTAAGCACTGATCCCTATACTATGAACTGTATCCCTGTACCAAGAACTGTATCCCTGTACTATGAACTGTATCCTTGTATCTAGGAGGAGGAAATAAATGAGGATGGTGTATCTGGAAATTATATTGTCTATGATGATAAAACTGTATTCTAGGAGGAAGAAATGAATGAGGACGGTGAATCTGGAAATGATATTGTCTATGATGATAAAACTGTGGCTGCTCTATTGGACAGATCCCAGGAGGGTATTGAGGAAAAGGAATCCTGGGCTAACGAATACCTGTCCTCATTCAAGGTAATATTATAGGGACTGTTGTGAACTTTTAATGAACTGTCCCCTTAGATACACAATTAACTTTGAACTATCTCAATATTTCAAACTTACCATAAAGGTTCTTATAATATTGAACAGATTGAAAAAAAACATCATGTTTTCCTATAAGGAGATGAGGGGATGGGATACCTCTTAAAAATATCTAGACCCCTATTTTCTGACTTTTTTGAAAATAAATTAATTTTTCACTTATTTGATTTAGGTTGCGACCTACCAGACCAAGGAGGGCGGAGAGGCGGAGGAAGAGGAGGTGGAGATCTTGAAACAGGAGGCGGATAATACGGATCCAGCATACTGGGAGAAACTTCTCAGGTATAATTTGGAGTTAAATCTTCATACTTAACTAAACTCTTAAATCAGTGACTTTTGGAATCATCAGTTTATTTGTGTGAAGTAAACCTCTTACTTAGTTATTTGATTATTGGTAGTAAGATATGAGTATTGATTCTTTTGAGTACACAAATACCATTGACAGTTTTGCCAGATTGTTTCGTTGATTTCTTTCACGGATTTGTTGGTTAATTTACTCCATTTTTACATGATTACATTAATTGATTGATTGATATTTTAGACACCACTACGAGCAGCAGCAGGAGGATGTATCTAGGAGTATGGGGAAGGGTAAGCGTGTGAGGAAGCAGGTTAACTACGGGGATGGAGGAGAGGTCGGAGTCCGTGATGATGGTTCCTGGCAGGAGAACGTATCTGACTACAACTCCGACTTCAGTGTCCCCAGCGACGACGACAAGGAAGATGACGACTTTGACGAGAAGAACGACAACGACCCTGAGGGAAAATCACGACGTGAGCGTGAGCGAGAGCGTCGTAGGGACAAGGATCGTCCCCTTCCTCCCCTGCTCGCTAGAGTCGGAGGAAATATTGAGGTTCTTGGTTTTAACGCTAGACAGAGAAAATCCTTCCTCAACTCGATCATGAGGTACGGTATGCCACCCCAGGACGTGTTCAACTCCCAGTGGTTAGTTCGAGATCTCAGGGGTAAGTCGGAGAAATGTTTTAAAGCTTACACTTCTCTCTTCATGAGACATCTGTGCGAACCTGGAAATGAAAACACGGAAACCTTCGCTGACGGAGTTCCTCGTGAGGGATTATCCCGACAACACGTTCTCACGAGAATTGGTGTCATGTCCCTCATCCGTAAGAAGGTTCAGGAGTTCGAGCAGATCAACGGGAAGCACTCTATGCCCCACCTAGTGTTGAGGAAGAAGGAAGGAGAGAAGCCTAGTGTTCCATCTACTCCCGCAACTGGAACTCCTAGTGGAACCCCGGCAAGCTCAGCCAGAGGTAGTCCACAACCCGAGAAGAAGGAAGAGACCAAGGAGGAGGTCATGGAGGTTGACGAGGTAAAAGAGCATAAAGAGGTCGAGGAGATCAAGGAAACTAAGGATGATAAGAAGGTAGAGGAGGGTAAAGATGAAAAAGAAGAGAAGGCAGAGAAAGGAACAGAGAAGAAAGAAGAAAAGGAGAAGGACACTAAAGCTGAAGAAAAACCAAAGGAGAAAGAAGAGAAAGCTGAAACTGAAGCTAAAGAAGGTGACGAATCCAAGCCTGTCCTTTTAGACGAGGAGGACGATAAACACAAGGATGAGAAGAAAGAGAAAGATAAAAAGGACGAGAAGGAGGAGAAGAAGGAGAAAGAAAGAGAAGAGAAGGAAGAGGAAGAGGATAAAAAGTTCAAATTTATGTTCAATATCGCGGACGGAGGATTCACGGAACTGCATACCCTCTGGCAGAACGAAGAGAAGGCCGCAGTGCCGGGCCGAGAGTTCGAGATCTGGCATAGAAGACATGATTATTGGTTACTCTCAGGTAATTTAGTGGCAAGCAATAAATGGGGGTGATCCTTAAAGTGATCTGTAATTTTAAAATATGTGCCTGCTCGATTTAAAACGGTACTCTTGCTCAAATTGACCAATAATATGGAAAATATCGTCATTTTAGGGACTTGGAAAGCATAATTTCATTATCTCTGAAGAAAATAAAAATGAACAGGTTTAAACACTAAAACTTTGAATCTAATTCAGGCTTGATAAGGCGATTTTTCTAAACAAATCATGATTTTCGGGCAAAAAAATCTTCATTTGAAAATATCTTTTGTCCCTATTTTCATTTAGAAACAAATTACAAACTTGACAATTTTGAATATGGAGTTTCAACACTGATATGTTTACTACACTTTATTTTATATTATTTACTAGCTGAAGGGCCCGTAAAAAATGTTAAGAAAAGTTTCAGCCTATTCGGTCCAGCCGTTTGGCCGGCTATACGCAACATATACATATTATGTATACTTTACGAATTTCATGTTAGTTTTGCATACTTTTCTCTCTGCAATTGTATTGCCCTCCTCCCCTTATAAAGTTTATTGTTGGAGAAAAATCGGTTATATAAGCTAACTTTGTATTAAAGTAAATTGTTATTTATCCATTAGATCCTGCAGTGTCGGACTTATTTACTCAATTCATATCACGCTGTCATTCCTCTTCGTTCTATTCTTCCAACAATTACAAGTTTATCAAATTACGATTGTACGTCAAAATATTTGAGCCTTTTATTAGTTGTACTATTGAGCGGTGCCCCAAAATAAAAAGGCAAAAACTTTAAGATTTTTTTTTCATGCACTTCAATTATTTCTTTTACTGTTTTTCATAAAATTTTGAAGTTTTTATTTTTTTAATGAAGAGTTAAACAAAACTTAAAAACGTAAATATTTTCCTTTCCTGTTTTTTCCTTCTTGTTTCTCTCTCCCTAACCCTTAATTAAACTCAAATTTTGGAGAAAATTGAAAAGCATAGACCTGTAATTTTCTTTCTTAAATATTTTTTATTTGCAGAGAACCCACAAATCAAAATTAACAGTTGAAAAATTTAACATTGATATCTAATTCATACTTGATCAGACAAAACAAACAAGGGTTCAGTTGTGAATTGGACAGAGCCATCTATGCATGGAGGGTCACTGGAAATTACTCTTACAGTCCCATAAAATTACATTCACATACTCTTTAAATTACATTTACAGACTCAATAAATAATATAAATTTAAATTAAGGAATTGTCTGCCACGGATATGGAAGATGGCAGGATATCCAGAATGATTCCAGGTTTGCTATCATCAACGAACCCTTTAAGATGGATGTTGGTAAAGGCAACTTCCTGGAGATCAAGAACAAGTTCCTGGCTCGCAGGTTTAAACTCTTGGAGCAGGCACTAGTGATTGAGGAGCAGTTGAGAAGAGCTGCTTTCTTGAACCTTACTCAGGTATAGTTTAACAAAAGGGGCTAATTGTGGGGGACTAATTTTGGGGTGTCGCTACCCAAATGGGGTTCGAGTCGAAATCAACTTAAATAATGGGGTTTACATTTTATCGGTCATTTTTAAACAAATCAGTTTGAAATTTTGGCTCCATTCTAGCAAAAAAAAATCTTAAATCATAAAACCAGATTTTTACGCAATTGATCAATATTCGAAAAACCTTTATTTATGTGAACCAAAAAAATCTAAGACCCCGGCGATGGTCAACCATAAACCTTATGAAAAGAGTAAAAGTGCCCACTCAAATTTTTGCCATTAATAAAAAACCTTTTAAATCTTGGCTAAAAATAGTTTAAGTATGTAAATATGCATAGAAAAATGGCATAATATCCAGAATTACAAGAGAAAGCTTCGTTAAAAACATCTTCAATAGTTGATAACGCCATAATCTGGCCATTATCTCTTAAATGTCCCTTAAGACAAAATTTGTTTAAGATTTCCAAGAAAATAAAATTGAACTGAGCAAGGATTACTGAGTTCTAAGAATATAATAAACTGGAATATTCCGCCGCTGTTCTCAAAATTTACATTTTATTGTTGAATATATTGTAGAGTTTATTTCTAGCTTCATTGTGTGAAACTCCGATGTAAGGACTACAGGGGGCTTTTTCAGGGGTATCGTTGTTACTACATTATAAAAGAGATTTTAAACTTTCAAGATTTTAAAGTTTCTTTTTTAAACTTTGCCATATCTTAATAGTCAAATGAAATTTTTACAAAATGTCGTCTTTTCAATTGTTGCAAAAGATTATCAGTCGGCTAAAAACTTAAATTTTCAAGAATTTTTTTGTTAAAATTACTTGAACTTGAATATATAATTATACTCATACAAGCAAAAACAAACTTTAAAAAAAAACAAGAACTCTAAAATACATTTATCCTACCAACCGCAGCCGCATAGATTGACTGGAAATAGATTTAAATTCAACAAAGAAAAGTATTTTCACTCAGTCCAGACTTATTTTCCACAAGAAATATATTGTGAAGTTTCTCAACTACTGTACCTCAGTCCAGACTTATTTTCCACAAGAAATATATTATGAAGTTTCTCAACTACTGTACCTCAGTCCAGACTTATTTTCCACAAGAAATATATTATGAAGTTTCTCAACTACTGCAACTGAATCCAGGCTTATTTTCCACAAGAAATATATTGTGAAGTTTCTCAACTACTGTAACTCAAGTTAAAATGATTTTAAAATTCAAATTTTCAAAATTTCGAAAACACATTTCACAGACCAAAGCAAGAATATAAGAGCCGAGACAAGATGATAAATTGATTGTTACTAATAAATGATATAAAATGATTTTAACTCTCTTATTGTGTTTTTTGCTTGTTTGTTTGTATCTATTAAACCCTCTAAACGGCTAGACCAATTTGGACTAATTTTTTGTGGCAACTCAAATTACCCCGGGGAATGGTAATAGCTGGTCAAACATTTGCCAATTTTTAGAATATTTTGAATTCAGATTCACAATAACTTAGAATAAATATCGACCTGAAAAGTAACATATAATGATAAAATGATTTGTAGAAGCCTGAAAGCCTTAACCATGTATTTAATAAGGCTCTTTGCTCATATATATATGTATGGCTGGCCAAACGGCTGGACCGAATGGGGTGAACATTTTTGAGGGAATCGAGTACTCCGGAGGTTGACTTTAAAAATCGAATTTTTTTCTTCTCAAGTTCGGATTTTTTTTTCAAAAATCGAAATTTTTTTTCAACTTCACATTCTTGGAAAAATTCGATTTAAAAAAATGCCACTGGTAACGCCGAGCGCTTCAGCTAGTATTACACAAATTAAAATAATATATTTAAGTTATTAAAATTTAGGATGCTGCGCACCCCGCGATGGCTCTGAACTCTAGGTTTGCCGAGGTTGAATGTTTGGCTGAATCTCACCAACATCTGAGCAAAGAATCCCTGGCAGGGAACAAACCAGCCAATGCAGTACTGCACAAGGTAAATCGTCGTATACATCTATACAATTAATTCAAACCAGCCAATGCAGTACTGCACAAGGTAAATCGTCGTATATATCTATACAATTAATTCAAACCAGCCAATGTAGTACTGCACAAGGTAAATCGTCGTATATATCCATACAATTAAATTTTTTGGGTCGGCCATTATTAATTACCGAGAAAAATAGCTTTTTAGAATTCGTACAAGAATTTTTTTTTGGTCGGAAAATGATTTTAGAAAAATGTTTTATCTTTATTCTGTATAATACCTTTTTTCGTAAGATTAGTCTAATTTATTGTAAAATTTTCCATTTAAAAAATTTTTAATTCTTAAAATAAATGATTTGTTGTTCAGGTTCTAAACCAGTTGGAGGAACTACTGTCAGACATGAAGAGTGATGTATCCCGTCTACCTGCCAGCCTGGCCAGAATACCACCCGTTGCTCAACGATTACAGGTATTAATACCCGCCTTTTTGCGCTGATTGCATGATTGTACATGCAAAATACAAATCCATGGTTTTCTTTTAAAAAACTACTTCTGAACGCTTTCTGTCAAATAAACGGCTCAGTAAGATTAATGAAATCATAGCTCGGTTAATGTAATACCAGTTTCAAATCAATTTAATTTGAAAAAAAAGAAATCGAATCTGATTCAAAGAAAATGTTTACTTGTTCTGAAAAGAACCTACAGCTCCAGCGGCGAATATTAAACCCTTATTTCAATCTCAACTTAGTAAAGTCATGGTTGGGATCGAGATAGGGTCATAGGTCATCCCTAATAATATGATTGATTGATTTTTCAGAGATAATTGCTATAAATCCGTTAATCATTTGTAGGGAAAACCTTCAAAATGTCAATTTTCAGTAAGAAAGACAAGGATATTTTTTCGACAGTAAGTTTATTTGATTTATTCATTAAATGTTTTATATTTGTAGATGTCTGAGAGATCTATTCTATCTCGTCTTGTGACCTCTGCCGCGGGCCAACCTGACTCCGGAGCTATATCTGCCAGTCAGCAGTTCCCGAGAGGATACCAGTCCGGTCAACTAGCTGGAGCATACGGAACCAACTTTGCACAGTTCAGACCACAGTATTCAGTTCCAGGACAACAGGTTAATATCTGACTGGTCTTGCACGGGTTTATATTTCTTAGAAAAATATTTTTTTTTCCATCTTCTTGAAATTTTTTCTTTTGTTGCTTGAAGCAAGAATTTTTATTTGGTTTTTTCGTTAAATTGGGCACAATAGATGATTTTTAGGGGTAATTCAGTGAATTTTGTGTGTCCAATATAAAAATAGATGATGTTTAGAGGTAATTTAGTGAATTTTGTGTGTCATATAAAAATAGATGATGTTTAGGGGTAATTTAGTGAATTTTGTGAGACATATAAAAATAGATTATGTTTAGGGATAATTCAGTGAGTTTTCTTTGTCAAATATAAAAATAAATGAATAATGAATTGCCTTTTGATTATTATCTTGATAGCTTGATCTCGATATTTACTGTGGGCAGTTTTAATTTGAGGATCGTTAAAAACTGATCTGTTCCAAATCTTCATTTTATATATTCCTTCCTTTAAAATTATTTCAAATCCCCGGAATCCTAATGTCAATAAGAAACCTCCAAAAAATATATAATTATATGCTTTTACAATCTTACTTGAAATTATTTTGATTTCTTTTAAAACGTCTATTTCTGTTCCATATTGTGAGCAATTTAATTAACTGTTAACGGCTTGACTAAGGCCTGCTTAAGCATGCACTAATGTAAGTGCAGTATTAAATTTGCAGACGAGAAACTGCAAAAAAATTTATGTTTTCTCTCGGGGGCCATTTGTATTCATGCAGAGAGCTGGATGTCGTATTTAATAAAACTCGACTCTCCAGGGGTGGACATTTCGTTTAAAAATTACTCTTCCCCCAACGAAATAAATTTTTCAGTTGGTTCAGATTTCTTTGAAATTTTTAGCCAAATGGGGGGAGGGATTTTTGGGGATAAGGTGTTTAGAAGGAGAAGGAGGGAGAGACTTCAATCTGACATTGAAATTTGTAACCCCTGACTAGGACTCCACTAAACTTAATGAAATTAGATATCAATGGCTAGTTTTTCATACATCTTGATACTTCCCCCCAAAAAATGTATTATGTAATTCCTGGGGATAAATAATGATTTTCACAAGGGTGTGGCGGGGGGAGAATATACACCCCTGACTAAAACATCATTCATGATTTCAGTTTTTTTTTCTCTCGAATATTTTGTAGGATTGTTATTATTAAAAATATGAACAGGATCTATGATTTCGTGAAAACAATTTATTTTATTAACAAAAGAAGAATAGCTTATTATTTATCACTTAAAATCTCCATTTGCGTCACTGCTCTGTAACAACCATCTTAACTAGGTTATTGTAGTTTTTAATTGGTTTCCGAAGAATGTGTTTCTGACATCTTTCCTCCAAGTTCTTTTAAGTTTAGATAAAAATTAAGGTTTTCTTTCAGAGACTGACGTTGTAATTATAGGTGATCCTCCATTTATAGAGAGATATATCCGATACATAACAATATCGTCTTCGTTAAACTTAGAAGTATTTCATTCTGAAAATTTGTTGGTTTTGTAAGAAATGCGCAATCCACCATTCATTGAGAACCTAAAATTGAAAAAAATCAATGTTAACTAAACCAAACCTGGTCAGACAATAAAAAATTCAAGCATTGAAACATTTATTTAGGATTATAAGGTCATTGCTTAAAATCCAAGTCCGTTTGTCGAAAGTACAATAAATAATTTGATGACAGTTGGTCCAGAATATTTAATTGATCAATTAAATATTTTTAGGTTTCAAGCAGCGCTACTCCACCTCAAGCAGCTTTCCCGGGCACAGTTCCTCCTGAGAAATAATTAATTATTAAATCTTCACACACTCCTCCCTGTATATTGTACTACAGGAGGGGGTAATCCCACCCCCCTTTTCTTAATATGTACAATGTACGACTCTTCTGATTTTGTACACGGTCTGTAAATCCGTACATAAACATGTCCCGTGGGGTATATAGCCAACCCCTTTTAGTGTACTTCTATCTAATAGTTGTATTGTAATATTGTAGTTTCCTGAATACATGTACAAACAAACAATAGAATTTTTTTATGAAGTGTAAAGTATGTCCTATTTAATACGGTTATCTAGTTGTATGGAAATAATGTTAATATGTTTGCTATACCATTATCAAAACAAATTATTATTATATTCCCTTAATTCTTTGATTTTTAAAGTTGTTTGACTGGAAAAGAAAGATACTTTTAAATACGTTTTAGATGATGTTTCAAGATGCTTTCATTTCCATTTAAGATGCCATACAGTTTAATACTTTCTTCTAAAATTTTATTAATCCTGTCTGAGTAGCACTTAGAGAATTTACTTCATCGATACATTTTGTGCCAGGTTTAATCTTTCTATTTAAGTTTCAATCTTGGTTAGCTTAAGTTAGGATTATTTTAGAGATTTGTTTAATTTTAAAACATTAAAAGTATTTGAAGAAGTTTGAGAGAGTACTTTCAAAATCTAGACCCGTCAACAGAGTTAAAAATAAAATCATTTAAAATTGGGATACCACATAAAAGGTTGTTTGGGACGGGAAAGAAACTGGGATTTTATTGATATGCACGCTAACCTCAGATGACCTGTCAGTCATCTTGCTACTGTCATGTTTAGTAAGAATTGAATGAATGCATGAAATTTTGTTTGGAAATTTCGAGTTTTCACAAAAAATGAAGTAATTAAAAAATAAACCCTGGATGAAAAGTTACATCTTAAATGATCTTGTGTATAAGATTGCACAGTTCGTCATCAGATACAGTGTCTCACGAAACATGAGAGTTGGTAAATAGTTTTGAATGTCGTCTTCCATGCACTGTATTAGATATTAAAGCCTGTTTGCAGTTTGTTTCGTTAAAAAAATCTTTTGTTAAGTATATTTTACGATGAAATTAATTTTACTATAATATGACTCCAATATGACATTTTTATTTTTGTCTTTGGTCTTTATTTAACAACTTAACAAATTATGAAAGAAGACATTCTAAACTATCTACCAACTGTCATGTTTCGTGGGACACCCTGTATTTAAGGTCAATACCCTGAGCTGGGAACTTTTGAATGGTGGATATCAGGATTAATGCTTGATACACTCTTTTTCTTAATCTCCAGATTAAATTATGCTTGTTCTCCTTGTTATTGATAAAAAAATTGTATTGGTTTGTTCGTGTTCAATCAGGACAGGATTCAAAACTTTTTTCTATGAAATTTAAAAAAAAATATATAAATCGCATTCGTGAAGGTTTTCGTATCAAAGTACGTATTCTAATTTTTTTATTTAAAATAATGAATTCTATAAGATCAAGATATTTAGATGTCTAAGGTTTATATCATCTGAGCTGAAAACTTTAGAATGTGATATCCGTAATCCCGATGTGTTGACTTATCTGGAGATTAAATTCATCCGGAGAACAAGCCATATTTAATCTGGATATTAAGAAAAAGTTTGGATTAAGCATTAATCCTGATATCCACCATTCTAAAGTTTTCACCTCAGGTTGCAAAGATATGAATAGGGATTAGGAGTTTGAGACAAATCACCTTTCCAACTAGCTCGGAGAGAATTTAGTGTACTCCATGTCGTCATAGCTTGAACTGGGTTCATTCTTTCAATTTAAGTTTTAATCTTGGTTTTAGCTTAAGTTAGTTATATATGAGGGATTTGTTTTATATTGGATATTAAAAGTACTTACACGAGAGTACTTTTAAAATCTTGACATGTCAGCAGAGTTAAAAATAGAATTATTTCAAATACTGAAGTAGGCGATTATATCAATACCATGTTCTAGACGACTTTCGATTTCAATTTTGGTTCATATCAAGCTTTTAAACAGCATGGATTCACATAAACATAGAAGTCAAAAGAAACGGTCATTAAAAAAAGCTCCATGTAAGAATCTGAAATGTTTTTTTGTTGTATTTTTGTGTTGACTCTCATAGTCAGCTTTTCATAAATTGTTCCAAAGGAACTGATTTCTTTTAACAAGTTCTTATTTTCTATTCCCTATATCTTTGCAATCCGATGTCGATGTACATTTCAATCATATTCCAAACTCTGTATTTTGTTAGATCTAATATTTTTAAGTTTGGAAAATCAAAAGTTTACACAATTAGATAAAAATATTTTGGGATTAGAAAATTTGAGTTTGTGGCAAGAGCTTAGTTATTTTAAGTTTCTATTTGAACATAATTATTCTTTTTTAACTTTTATAAAGTTTCAACTTTCAGTGACTTTTTCCTTTATTTTCATTATTTGTTTAAAAACAGCCTTGATTGTGTTTTCTGTTTATTTTAGAAGAAGAACAAAGGAAAGAATTTCTGTGAAAAAACACCAAAACTATAATTCAATTTAAAGTTTAAAAAAGTTAGCTGTAAACTGAAACTGAAGAGTTGCTATAGTGGAAACTTTAATTTCAATTACAACTCCTATCTTTGAAGATCTTTATATGAATAAAATATTCAAACAAATAAAATTGTTTTTCACATACTGAAAATATGAATAGTTCAAATTGTTTTTTTTAAATAGATCTATTTTAGTTTATTTGATTTGTGACTGCAAACTGTTGCCATTCTATTGGAGCTGATTATCATAAAATTTATGCTTTTCTAAATATTTTCTTAAAAATTCTCTTTTCATGTTTTAAAGTGGTCTTTTTTCTTAAATATCTACCAAGAGAAGTTGAAACTTACTAAAAACAAAGAAAATACGTAATTTTCTTATTTTTGTTATTTGATGTTTTATTTCTTCTCAAATAAGAAATAAAGGGGGTAATTTGTTTGGTTAATTGCTTCATTTTATGTGTTATGTGATCTCTTTCCTTGGACATTGACGAGCAGGGGGGGGGGGGGTAGCCGACTATTAACTAAATTTGTGTTAGCTTAAATGAAAAGAGGTTTGGGCAGGAAGGTTTGTCTATTAAAAATCATAAAAACATGTTTGAGTGAAAAAAACGGACTGAGAGAAATGCAAATTACACCTTTACAACGTTTTGTGACGAACCTGGGCAATGTGCACTGTGCAGGCCGTACATTGCTTAACAGATATGTTACAAATTTATTTTTCGGTTCAGTTAAAAGTTGAAAGTGTAAGTGTAAGTGACTCCTGTGTTTTATGTTTATTGGCATATATTAAATCACAACTTGAGTCTTATAGAACTGTATACAGTCGTCTTCACAGTCCAATTTTTGTTGGTTCTCACTGAATGTATTTGAGTCCAACGGTCGTCTTCACAGTCCACTTTATTATGGTTCTCCCTGAATGTATTTGCGACGAACGAAAAGTTTGCGAAAATGCGAAAAAATTCGAAAATTTGGTGCAAAATTTTGCATTTTTTGTAATTTCGATCTTGTTTGCAAAATTTTTGGCTTTTTTTTGCAAAATTTTCGCCTTTCTTATTTCGCCAAAATTTCGCATTTTTTTGCAAAACAGATATAAGCGAAATTTTGCGAAAAAAAAATTTCTTAAAAGTGAGAAATTTTCGCGAAATGATTTTTCCTTTTCGCTGCAAACCCTATGTATTCAATATAATTAGATTAAAAAATACATTCATTGTTATCATTCATATCTCGTGTGACGCATGTTCCGTAAAATTAAGTTGTTTTTCAGTCTATTTTTGTTCTATTTTCTTTGTTTTAAACAGGTTTCCGACTGTATTTACGTATGTAAGAGTTGGCAGTCGAAAACATTGCAATTCTACAATCTTCTAAATATATTAACTTTGCTTGTCCGTCTGTATGTATCTAATAAACGTCAATAAACCCACATCCAGCCAGCATAATAAAACCACATGGATCCAGCCAGCATAATAAAACCACACGGATCCAGACAGCACAATAAAACAACACAGTTCCAGACAGCATAATAAAATCACATAGTTCCAGGCAGCATAATAAAACCGCATGGATCCAGGCAGCATAATAAAACCACATGGATCCAGACAGCACAATAAAACAACATAGTTCCAGACAGTATAATAAAATCACATAGTTCCAGGCAGCATAATAAAACCACATGGATCCAGACAGCATAATAAAACCACATAGTTCCAGACAGCATAATAAAACCACATAGATCATTAACTCACTTAAACTTTTTTGTAACCCTAAGCATATATTAATTTTAGAGCTATAAAGGATTTGTTTTTAGGTTTAGTTTTAAAGAAGTAATTGACAAAATTCTAATCGATTTTTGCTTAAAAAGTTGCAGCCTTTAAATCACTGTAATCCTAATCCTATTTTCTTTGAAAGCTACACTCCTATAAATAAATATATGTCTATGTATATGTACATATTTATATATTTGTTATGTCCTTCTTTTGTAAATTTCTTATCAATCTTGAAGAACTGATGGACCCAAACCAAAGTACTTAGATAGATATATATGTTTCGACTAACATCATAATAAATACATTTTTAATTTATAATTTATAACTAAACAATCACAAGCCAGTCCTACTCCTACAACCTAACAATTTCTGGTTGTTTTTATCGGCTGGCCCTTTAAAGTTTTACAGATACATATTTATCAGATTTCATCAGAAGTAAGAAGAGATGTGAGTAAACATTTATCAGATTCAGAGATAAGAAGAGATCTGAGTAAATATCTGACTTAAGGATAAGAAGCGATCCGAGTAAACATAAGATTCAGAGATTAGAAGAGCTCTGAGTAAACATAAGATTTAGAGATAAAAAAGATCTGAGTAAACTTAAGATTCAGGGATAACATGAGATCTAAGTAAACACAAGATTTAGAGATTAGAAATGAGATCTGAGTGAACATAAGATTCAGAGATAAAAAGAGATCTGAGTAAACATAAGATTCAGAGATTAGAAGAGATCCGAGTAAGCATAAGAATTAGAAATAAGAAGAGATCTGAGTAAACATAAGATTCAGAGATAAGAAGAGATCTGAGTAAACATAAGATTCAGAGATAAGGAGAGATCTAAATAAACATTAAGTTTCAGAGACAAGAAAATATCTGGTTAAACACTCAGACAGAGATAAGAAAAGATCTGGTTAAACATAAGATTCAGAGATAAG